GCGTAGATAGGCGCCTATATGTTCGACCAATATAACCTGCCCTGCAGGGGCAAGTGAAGGCGAAGGTGCGCATTGAAGAGATCCGAAAGGACAGTTTATCCCTATTGTCACGATGAGGAAGTAAAGTGTTTGAGAAAACCTAGTCTTATCGTAGCGGCTGGGTACGTGCACGCGATAGCAGCGTTTAAGCGACGCTGTAGAAGTCCGCTTGCCGGACCTTCCTGAAATGGCAGTGTGAGAAAAGACCCCTTCTTCTCAGTCGTCGAGAAGTCTGACTTTGGGGGACGTTCCTCCATATATTTACCGACAAGCTTTTCGGGGAACCCGTTGTTTCGCAGAGTGTTTTGCGTAAGGGCAAGTTCGTTCTCCAGCGTGTCTGGAGTGCATATCCTTCTAGCCTGGTTAGTTAGGCAGCGGACTAACCTTCGTTTCTGACTTGACGGGACAAAACTGTAGAAATGTGTATATCGTGCTGTCCATGTTTTCTTACGAACTATGAACTGTTGTATCAGGCATTCTATTAAGTAGGACTTCCAGCGCATATTGCGTACAAATCAATCTGAGACTATCGCATTACGCTAAAATCGCGGCTCCGAAGGCGGCCAACTTCGCAGTGTGGCCTTCAGGAAACTCCCACTCAATTTCGATCTGAGCTGCTCCCCCCTTTCCTTTTGCTGCTGTGTAAACTCCTGGTATTTCCTAATAACATCCGGACGTGGCCTTAGGAAAATTCGATTTTCATGCGAGTGGCACACCGCCAAAGTGACATTCTTAATCATGAGAAAGTCGGGGACACTTCTGAGTGGGTTGTAGCGTTGATGAGAGCATCCCTCAGTTCCCCTTCGTCAATGGGTGTTTCAGGTCTCCATAGTTTTGCTTTGTGCGCAAGGCAAGTACGAAGCCTGTTGCAGGCGTTAGACTACAGGAAGGAGTTCGCCAAATTGGCGGCCAGGTCGACAGAATTCGGAAGACGACGTTTTCTGATAAGAAGCTTGTCACACGGTCTGAACACTAATAATAATTTTTTCCAAAACGGCGGCGTATGAGGCAACCGGAAGGCACTAGCGCGGAGTTTGGTGTGAGTATGTGTCATAAACCCCACTTTTGTTTCGTCAGTTGTTGCACATCAACTTTCAAACCCTTATGTCTTTGTCCGATTCGCGTATTTTCATTGGTTGACCTCTGAGCGCCAGCGTGACCAGATTTCTCGCGGCCTAACCGCGTCGCAAGGTCGCATACGGTCCGACGGCGTGCTAGTTGCTGACTCACGCGCGGACGTGATTGGTGAGACTGACCTGCGGCGTGGTGGTTCCCCGCCGCGCGTGAAAGCCGGACGACAGGACTAGTGCGTCGAGTTCAGTGCCACCCTTAACAGTATCGCTAATCATCACCTCGCACAAACGTCGCACAAGTCATTGGGTACCTGAACCAGCGATTTGACTTTGCTTAGCCAATCAAATGGCACAGTTGTCTCCGCAATTATGCAAGTCACTACATCGGAAGCCTAGACACCGAGTACGGGCAAACGCAAATCCCAGATGCGCAGTTGTCGCCCCAGCAGTCTGGAAGCTGCCCACGAGGTCGACCTCGAGGACATAAAGTTGATGGTGCTGACTGACAGACACCCATCCCACACTCTCACTGCCAGATGTGGCGGCTCCCTTTCCGGCCAGGAGCATCGGTGTAATGAGACACTACGGATGCTCAAATACTTGAAACGCAAGCCAAATCGGCACAAGCAGCCACCTTTGTCCGTTTCATATAAATGAGTGCGTTGTTTCACTCTAATTGTCCATATTACGCGCCGCTATGTGGCTGCTGGTTAGGCTCCGGAGAGACAGAGAGAGCCCCAAGACACAACGGAACGAGTGAGTTCCGTAAAACGATCGGTGAGTACCCCTATACCATTGCACGACTTGGATCGACTTTTCCCCTTCCAATGCTTTAAAAGTTGGACACTGAAAGGTACTCATCAGGAATCAAAGGAAAAGGTGAGAGGGGACGGAAGGATAGAAGGCGAAAAGGACACAAATCAGTAGCGGAGCAGCATACGGCAAGAGTAAGTTTGGGCAGACAGTGTGCACGAAAGCTGACTGTGCTATCAAAGAAAAGACACAACTATCAGCTCAAGATGAAGACATAATATTGGTGACAAGCAAAAGTTCCGAAGGAAACACCAGAACCGGTAAGCGGGAAGCATGGGGAAGCCTACTAAACGAACTCGAAGGAGTGCGCGTAGGAAAAGATTGAGACTTGGTTTTCCAGCAAACAGCAACAGTTGGGAACGAGAAAATAAATGAAAAAATCAGTCGCTTCTTAACAGAGACTTTTTGGAAACTGAATAATATAGCTTGTTTTAGCTTCTCGCATAATAGAAAAAAAATTTGGTGGTTCATTGACCGCAAATAATTTCAAGTAATTTTTTCCAGAAAGTGAACAGGTGGGAACTGAATATATTCGCAGGCACCTTATTCAGCAGGGTAATGTCTGGTAACTAAGTGAAGCCTTCATAAAGTCCCTGTTTTCCAAGGGCTTACCAAACTTACGAGGATGTCCATAGGAACTTAGGCCATGATTGAACTTTAAAAATATACGTGAACGCCGACAGTATCTACTTTTCTTTTCTGGTATCGACGACGAGGAACTGAAATTTAGATGTGACAACCATGAGGCTACATTGACTTGCCTAAGTACTGGCCTCAAGAATGCCCACCCTAGGTTAGTGCATAAATGCTATTATCAGCTGAAATTCTGATAGCACACGCGGAGGGGACAGTTATTATTAATTTCACTTTGACTCATCTGTGAAAAACTCGGTGTCTCGATGGGATTTGAACCCGCAAAAGTAAGGGGCGACTTTAGTGCAGCCAACGCTCTAACCACCTGAGCTACGATGTCCCACAGGACACGCGAGTGTAATTACATTTGGGTCAGGTTTACCCGCCCAAATTACTGCAACGTCTGGAATCCACCAAATCTGATACAGTAAGTTGACTGCCCAGGCAGGATTTCCTAAGTAATTTACCTAGAATCCACCAGATGACTACCAGGCTCACATAACTCATAGGTGTTATGGCAAACTTTAACTGGCAATTCGTCTAAATGCATCAGGAGAAGTAGGGGCCATAGGACAGAATTTAGCGGAAAGTGTATATTAATGTACATTAATTATCCCTCCCTTACATGTTTACCTAGTGCCTAAAATTATGTGTACTCGTGCTTGAATACGTTAAAAAATACGCACAATATGCCCGACCTGCGTCATCGTGAGTTATGATTTTGCTGCCACTTTGTGTTCACAGAGTACATCACTGTGTATCGATCTTTCTAGACGAAATTTAGGATTGGCCGCTTTAGTCACATTTTTCGCGGATGTCGGCTATCCACTGTGATAATCAGGTCTGGGTGATATCAGACTCCTGGAGTGAACCTTACTGTTGTTGAGTTTGTAAAGAAACTCTTGGTTGAATCATTGTTTTTCCGGAATAAATTTGGACAAGGCGGTGGCAACGAAACATGGAGAATTTAATGATGTCACCAAATTGAATGGCCTCTTATTCAGCTGCATGCGGCCATTGCGTATTTGTAGCATAAATAGCGACCAAGAGTGATGAAAAGTGATAAATAAATAAAACATTGACTTTAAGTTTTGAGCTGCATACGTAGCTTTCGATAAATTGTCGTCGGGCCAGTACAGTTATATGGGAAGGGGGTAGAAGTAAAGCATGTCAACGATAAGAGAAATCGATAAAAGTTCACCTTAAAACACAGGCGGGGTGTGGGAATGTGGGGGAGGGGGGGGGGTGCTAAAGGCGGAAAATAAGGTACCCAGGAGTTCAGTTACGAAGCCCGTAGTGGACACGGCTCCCATGGTGGACTTGATGACTGAATTTAAAGCCCTACTTCGGGCGACGGTTAGGAGCCCCCTGCGCTTTTCAGAGACGGGTGCAATAGGGAGAAAACCAGAGCTCTGTAAGCCATGGTAAGGATCGATAATGAACGTAACCCCATTCCCACACCCGTCCTCTTACTTCCCCCTGTCCTCACGACTGACTGCGGTCCGGTGTGTTGAAGTTATTTTCATTCCCAACAGGTTGTCACTGTAACCTGAACTCAGTTGCCTAGGCCATTTCTTTCCCCCTCCCGCCTAGCCATGTACACTCGCATATCAAATCAACAGTCCATCTTTTATTTACCTGTCATGTTTGATTCCTTTAGGCCGCTCTTTAATTGGACAGTTTATCTTATTTTATAAATGCACAATGACTGCATACAACTGAATAGGTCACAACATTTTATGACGTCATTGAATTCTGCATGTTACGTAGCCTGTGTTTTGTTCAAACCCTTGTTTATTATTTTCTCAGTTCTTTTCCTCTGTCATTCTTCGTAGGCCAAACACAACATCCTCCACTTAAAGCTGACTACCTTCGTGTGGTATATTTTGTATTTTTACCTGTTGCATACACTAAAAAGGTAACTGCAAAACGCCATTTCTAAAGGTTTCGCGTCCCAAATATTACACCGTAGATTCAAAACATCTAACATTAGAGCCAGACGAATCTGTTATGTATGCAAAACAGAAGGGTAATTGGAAATAGGACGTGTACTGAGTACGATAGGCAGCACAAGTGATGAGGCTTGAGGAAATGGCCGGGCATATGGCAAGGGGGACTGTCATAGGCTGATGGGTGGCCAATCAGCACAAAGAAGGTGTGAACAGGGGTCATGACCTTGATCGTTCGCTTGTCACGTGTTTGTGGCATGATGCCCTGACGGCCCGGACAGGATACGCTGCATCCCTCCACCCTAAAGTGGAGAGCATGAGGAGGAGGGGAGGAGGGGTAACAGTAAAGGTAATAATGGATAACTAGACAATGTTATAATAAGATTCGTCCTGAAAGCGTTGGACAGGTTTGCGGATTCGTGTCGATCTTCACAGGGCGGTATTTTCTACCTCTGCGCCGCTTTGTGCAGTCACTGGCTCCTCTGCCCCTGAGCTAGTGCTGGCCGGGGTAGAAGGAGGAGGAGGAGGAGGAGGAGGAGGAGGAGGAGGAGGAAGATACGCCTCGGTCGGTGGCGTAGTGCTCTGTGCAGGCAGTAGGTTTCAGTCCTCGGGATGTCAGGATCCCTATCAAGGGTTGCTGGCAGTTCAAACTTTCCGAACTCTCCACTTGCTGTGTCCGTCCGGCTGCGAACTTGGTCCAGATGTCGACGCACAATTCTCCCATCTTCTAACTCTAATTCCACTATTTGCCCCTCGCTTGTTCGAACTACCGCTGGACACCAGTACTTTTCGTGTTCCAGTCGCGTGTAGACACTTTCGTTAGGTGCGACGACTCTTGATCGGGTGTTCACATTATATCGTGCTTTCATCTTCGTCTGTTTTGCAATGACTCTATCATGCGTTGATGGATTAAGCAGGTCGAGTCGTGTGCACAACTGCCGCTTGAACATCAATTCTGCAGGCGAAGCACTAGTTGAGTCGTTTGGTGTTATGTGATAGCTGAACAGAAAGCGTGACAACTTGGTGGCCAAGTCCGCTTCCGTCTGTTTGGTTAGTCCGTGCTTTATTGTCTGGACTGCACGCTCTGCGAGGCCATTAGAAGCAGCGTGGTACGGGGCAGTAGTTAAATGTCTAATTCCATTTTTCTCCATGAAATCTTTAAATTCTGCACTAGTAAAGGCTGGGCCATTGTCTGAAACGAGCATTTCAGGTATCCCAAAAGTTGAGAAAACGGTTCGCAACTTGTTGATTGTAGTCAATGAAGAACAAGAATTTCCAGTTGGAATCGCATCTATTCATTTAGTGTGGGCGTCAACTACCACCAAAACCATATGGCCTTGGAATGGCCCAAAATAATCGACGTGTACCCTCTTCCACGGCGAGTCGGGCCAGGCCCAAGGCTTCAGAGGATCCTTCGGTAAGGTCTTCTGTGTTATTTGGCACACATGACATGCTTTCACCACGTTTTCTATATCTGCGTCAATTTTGGGCCACCAAACATAGCTGCGGGCGAGAGCTTTCATTATAACTGTACCAGGATGAGCATTATGCAGGTCTCTGAGGATGGTCCGTCGCCCTTGTGGTGGCACAACTACACGATTGCCCCATAGTATGCATCCGTCTTGTAGACTTAACTCGTTTTGATGGCTGAAGAATGGTTGAAAATCAGGGGAGGTAGAGGACGGCCAGCCAGATTGTAAGGCTCTTTTTATCCGACTTAGGAGAGGGTCTCTCGATGTCCACTGTCGAATTTGCTGACAGGTTACAGGTGCGTTGACTAGGTTCTGCAAAAGATTTACGGTCTCAAAAACAGGTGCCCCGTTAATGCCATCGTCCACAAAAGGAAGCCTACTCAAGGCATCAGCTACTACGTTTGCACTGCCTGTAACATATTTCATTGAATACGTGTAAGCGGACAGGGTGAGTGCCCATCGTTGCATTCTCGGCGAGGACATCTGTTGTATCCCTCGTTTTTCTCCCAGCAGACCTAAGAGGGGTTTGTGATCAGTGTGAATCTCAAAGAGTCGACCAAAAAGATAGAGGTGGAAGCGATGTAGGCCAAGCATTATTGCTAAGGCCTCTTTAACTAGTTGCGAATAGTTGGTTTCCGCCTGTGACATGGTTCTTGATGCAAAGGCAATCGGCATCTCCGCACCAGAAGGCATTCGGTGCATGAGAACTGCACATACGCCGTACGGAGACGCATCACATTTCAGTATGGTAGGCTTTTCGGGGTCATAATGGACTAGGACAGATGAGGAGGCAAGAGTCGCTTTTGCTTGTTCAAAAGCACTTTGTTCGACCTCCTACCAGTTCCAGCAACGATTCTTTTCTAGTAGTCGATAAAGAGGCTTTAGAATCGTAGCCGACTGATTAATAAAGCGACTAAAGTGGGTGACCAACCCCAGGAATGAACGCGATTGACTAGTATTGTTGGGGCGCGGCGCCGTCTTCAAGACTTTGAGCTTATGTTCGAGTGGATGGAGGCCAGTTTTATCCACCCTGAAGCCCAGGTATTCCACCGAGTAGGCAAGGAAAGTGCACTTATCTCTCCTGAGTTTAAAACCAGTTTCTTCTAAACGTCCTAACACGATGCTTAGAGTCTCTAGATGACTATGTTCAGATGGGCCGGTAATTAATATATCGCCAAGGTATGCGCAAACGTGGGGTATATCCTTCACGAGGTTAACAATCAAGCATCGAAATAAACCGGGGGCCGAACTTACTCCAAATGGTAGTCTTTTATATCGAAATAAACCCCAACGAGTATTGATGGTGGTGGCGTCTCGGGATTCCGTATCTATTACGACTTGGGTGTAGGCATGCTGTAGGTCCAAAGTTGTAAATTGATGACCACCCGAGAGGGATGCGTACAGATCCTCGATGCGCTGGAGAGGATAAGGGTTCAGTTTAGTTGCCGAGTTGATTGTCAGCTTGTAGTCGCCACAGATACGCACAGAACCATCGGTTTTAAGGACAGGAAATATTGGGGCTGCCCATCCCGAATATTGCACGGGCTCAATAATATCCGCTTTCTGTAGGCGATCCAGCTCTTCTTCGACCTTCGGTGCGACTGCATAGGGGACTGTACAAGCTTTGAAGAACCGGGGCCGGAAATCTGACTGAAACTGGAACTTAACAGGTGGACCGCGGTAGTGGGTAGCAGAATCGTCACGAAATAGATCCTTATGATTTACCAAAATTGAATCTAAAGCCGGATTTACACCAATCCGATGTACATAGGATAGAACGGAAGGCACACATTTAATCCAATTCCGCCCGAGGAGATTTGGTTGCTGACTTCCTCTCACCACATGAACCGGCAACTAATGAAGTTCTCCATCATGCTCGACTTCGGCTGTAAAGACCCCTCGAATCTCTTCGTTCTGTCCAGTATAACTACGGAATGTTGAGCTAGCCGGAAGGAGGGAGGGTAATTTCTGAAGAGAGACCTCATTGATGAGAGTAACAGCTGAGCCAGTGTCGATTTCAAACTTCACGGGGTGGTGATAAACCGGCAACGTGACGGTGTAGGGCGATTGGAGTGGCGCGTTGGCCGAAAACATTCGGAGTATCGCCTCGCCATCCCCAGCTGGATTAGGGTAGGTCGCATGCGTGTTAGTATTCGCGCGTCTTTTGGAGAAACACACTCGTTCAATGTGGCCGACTTTCTTGCAAAACTGGCATACCATCTTCTGGTGTCTGCAGTCTGACCACCGGACATGATGCTGGCCACAACGGTAGGAGGATGGTAATTGTTTTGAGGGAGCTGAAGGTCGCTGTTTAGGTGAAGACACAGCAGTGTTGACTAGGGAGACAGTCATTTCAGATTCCAAGGATGCTATCACTCCATCGTTTGACTGATTCAGCTGCTGAAGGTTTTGTCGCACGCGCTCCCGATGACTGGCAATATCACAGGCTTTCTCCCATGACAAATCCTTCTTCTCTGATAAGAGATTTTCCCGAGCTTTTTCATCGCGCAGACCGACGATCAACGGCTGAACGAGCATTGCGTGCTCGAAGTTGTCTGCCTTGATCTCTTTATACCCACAGTCCTGGGTGGCGAGAGTCAGATTAGTAATAAAATCACTGACACATTGACTGGATTCTTGACGCATTTGACAAACCGATAGCGACTGAGAAAGACGTTGTCTTTTCCTCCCGACGCTGACTCGAGTTTTGAGAAGGCTGTTTGGAGATCTATAGCTTTTTGTAGATTGAGGGCATCGAAATATCGTTGTCCCAACTCTCCGAGATTCGTCCGGAGGAGTTTCAACTTAGATGGGACGTCTAGTACAATTGTGGGTGACAAAATCGGGAGTAGTTCGATAAAATCCTCAAATGTCTTCCTCCATTGCAACCACGAGTCATTTGAGGGCTACTGGGTGTTCTTTGGCCAGAAAGGTAACGGTGTAGGCAGCAATGAAGACATGTTCGTTAGGTTGCGTCGCCAATGCTATGTATGCAAAACAGAAGGCTAATTGGAAATAGGACGTGTACTGAGTACGATAGGCAGCACAAGTGAGGAGGCTTGGGGAAACGGCCGGGCATATGGCAAGGGGGACTGAAATAGGCTGATGGGTGGCCAATCAGCACAAAGAAGGTGTGAACAGGGGTCATGACCTTGATCGTTCGCTTGTCACGTGTTTGTGGCATGATGCCCTAACGGTCCGGACTGGATACGCTGCAGAATCTATGGTATCCTTTGATGTCGTTTCGCTCTTCACCTCCATTCCACAGCAACTAGCGATAGACTACTGGCAGAGCGCTATGGCGGAGGGAGACATGCCCCTGAAGTCTGAACATCTGCTTGAGCTTCTGAGACAGTGCCTTATGACCTGTTTCACCTTTGGTGGACAAATGCACGAACAAATAAACGACACTTCCATTGGCTCCCCTCCATCAGGCCAAATCGCTGGAGTGGTTCTTCAACGGATAGAACTCTTAGTGTTCGCCAGGTATCAACCAAGGTTCTGGACTCCCTGTGCCGATGGCACCTTCGTCGTTGTCAAAGCAACTGACATTGAGCCCCTGAAGGAACTACTGAACTCGGTTTACCCGGATATCTAATTTACGATGAAAGCAGAAGCAAACAACCAACTGCCCTTTCGTGGCGTGCTTGCGCGCCGGCGTACAACTGGACAACTGCAAACCGCAGTATTCCTAAAATCCACCGACACGAGACAGATCGTAAACTTTGATAGCAGTCATCCTCTGTCTCAAAAACGTAGCTGTGTCGACACTCTATTCCAAAGAATCAAAACACACTGCAGCACCCCAGAAGATAAAAGAGCTGATCAATTGTACCTTCAGAACCTATTTGAAGCCAACGGTTATCCAATACATTTTATCAGGAGAAACAAACGTCGGGCGCGCAAACAACGGCCAAATGAGCAGCAACCCGAAGTCTGGAGTGCCATTCTCTACGTTAAAGGGGTCTCTGAGGCGGTCTCTCGACTGTTACGATCCGCAAGAGTAGGCATAGCCCACCGACTCCAGGCAACAATTCGATGCCGTCTGATGCAACCTATGCACCCATTGACGCCCGCTGAAACCTTAGCAGTCATCTACAAAATAAATGGCAATGAGGGCGACTGCAACTATGTGGGAGAAACCGGGCGGAAATTGCAGATTTGCCTACAAGAGCACAAATCGGCTACTCGGAGGCTAGAACCAAACTCTCAACTAGCAACACACGTTGACGACCCAAATGACCCAAGTGCCGACAGATGTAATGAGATTCCGTCAATCAGCGACTCGGCTTCGGGCAATTAGGCCATTGTCGCACCAAGCACAGCCACCTGTGATGAATGTGAAGGCCGCTAATTTTACCAATAATACAGGCGCATAGCAACTCTATACTGCAGTACCTGGTCAGTCAGACATTTATCGCACCACGGCTACTCGGAGGCTAGACCCAAACTCTCAACTAGCAACATACGTTCGAGAAACTGGACATACTTTCGATCTCCTTAGAGCTACCATCTTAGACCGGGGCAGCACAAAAGCAGAACGGCCAACTCTCAAGGCGTGTTTCTCCGATGCCCGCTCCATAAACAGGCATCTGGACCTTCCTGCAGCTTACAAAGTCTCACGTCATCGCAATCGTAGAATACAGGACCAAACAACCCGACCGAACTTAAGAAGGCCATACGGAGACATCCGGACGGTGAGTTTACTATGTGAGAAAGAAAAATCGCCAGACCGACCACCCGACAAAGGTTCAATCACCTCCACCCGACGGAGTGGTGACTCACAAAACGCCCGTCTGTCATCTCCCGAGAGGCCGAGGCAGCGAGAGGAGAGGAGAGAAAAATCGATCAGTATGAGGCCGACCAACGTGACATTCCACTTGGGATTTCCGGTCGATTTGACGCTTTGACAATAGAGAGCCGACCAAACTCTTCGAAACTTCAGCATCTAAATAAACCCGTTCCGGTGAGCACATCTTTTTCCTCAAAGCATACCATCTTATTGTACTTTCTGAAAATCCGAAGATATTGAATTTATCGATGAGTGGGATCACTAACTATATCGAATGTCTGTTTGAAATTGTGTAATACCACTTTGGAATGTTCATCATTAGCAATACTCTTGCGAAGTATTTTAACAGTAGAAAAGCAGAGTAGTTAGACAAGCTAAACTTTGCAAAGACTTATAGTGACGGGGAGAAGAGTTCAAGGAAGCATTTGCGAAGACGGAGACATGATCGCTGGAAAAAGACTTCTATCAGCTTGATGTTTCCGATTCATATTCAAATCCATTGTCAGAGAGAGAGAATCAGATGAAAGTGGTGAGTCGCAAAAGTATTGCAGTATTTACAGGATGTAGTTGCTGTGCCATTGAATGCCTATAAAAATTAACAGCTGCCGAATTCCTCGCAGATATTTGCACGTGGTGTGTTAGGTGTCCAAATGGCCAGATGTTACAATATGCAGTTACTATGTGCTTCCATTATGGTTAGAATTTGTGGCTCTTGCATTCATCGCAGGGGAGGCCTGGGGCGCCAACCGCGTGAGCCGCGAACTGATCGTCGTGGCTTTTCCATCCTCGGTCGATTGATAAGCGCAGTGGCCTTCCTGGTCCATATTCTGTGCTGAAACCTTGCCAGGCAAAGTATTTGGCCTCAAGGAGAGGACGCGGCTAACCACTGGTCTTGTTGTCAATGTCAGCGAGCCAAATGGCCCAAGTGCCGACAGGTGTTATGAGATTCCGTTAATCAGTGACTCGGCTTCGGGCAATTAGGTCATAGTCGCACCACGCACAGCCACATGTGATGAATTCGGAGGCCGACAATTTTACTAATAATAAAGGTGCATAGCAATTGTATGCTGCAGTACCTAGTCAGTCGGACATTTATCGCACCACGTGAAACTATCCGCAATGATTTAAACAGCTGTCAACTTTTGTAGACATGCAGTGGCATAGCAACTGCATCCCATAAATGCTGCAGCACATGTGCGACCCAGTTCAGTTTATTGAGGGAAGTAGTTGGAAGCCTTTGAGTACCCTATTTGCAACGTAAAAAGTGTGTGGGCTGAAATATTTCAAACAAGCCCAAACGTAGACAACTAACAATCTGTAGGCTTTGACACTTTGCCGTTTTTGGCGGTAACATTTGGTACGCCCTGCTTTATGCATCCCGCTATTTTGATGTCCTTATCAAAGAACGATAACCCTCTCGTTTATGCTACACTGCTTTGTCGCTACATGCTTGTTTTCATAACATTCTCCTCGATCCGTCAATGTTATATTTCTTCCAGATCTCGAATTCTGTCTTTTATCCTTATTTCTTTTCTTATTGTTGTCTCACGTTTTCGGCCGCCACGAATGACCCGTTTGTTAGTTGCTGAGCCTCCGACCCCATCTTTAGATTCCTGTTCAAAGGATACCGACAGCGTCCAAGAGGTGTCATAATAAACCTATTCTATGCTATCCCATTCTGTCGAGTGTCAAGTAGCTGGCTTGAATATCAAGCCCATTCCGATTCTAGGGAGAAAACAGGAAAATATTCACGGGTCTTGGATTCCCGACCAGTGCCACATATTTACCACAGAATTATTTAAAGTTGACGCCTAGGCCTACCCTTGCGTAAGATTGACCCGAAGCTCAATTTTGCGATTAGGGCAGCATGTTTTGACTGTGATTACCCGAGTTCGAATCCTTTGTCATCGTGGCTGGTTTATTGGCCCTCAGTCTAACTTCTCTGACTTTTCGTGATTTGGTGAGCAAGCAGTCGCTACAAGTTTGCTTCGCAGTTGCTTTTCCTCCTTGCCAGAGCTCGAATCCGACACTGATGTCAGGCATACACATAGTCACCGCTCTTACGACCGTAAGCTCCCACGAATTTTTCTTTCGATAACTGCTTGACGGTTACTCTCGCGACAGTGAAATCGGAGTCGCAGTTAGACGTTCGAACGATATTCAAAGTGAGAAATGTTTGATTTGTTTTTGACCCTGGACCCTGCCGCGTGCACGGACAAAAAGGATGTGACACACCACCAAGTCGGACGGTATGTGTTCAAATCATTGTGACGAGAACGCTTCCACCAAGATCCAAGATAGCATCGGTATGACCAAATGTCAGTACGGGTGGCCAGTGTCATTTCCCCCGCAGCCGCAGCCGTTTTCAGGTCCTCGCTCGTCATTCTTTCTCTCTCTCACCTGTTAGCACCCTCCGTGACCGCACCCTGTAACCACAAACAATGCTACACACTCCCACTAGTTGTCACGAGGGTATGTGGGTACCATCCACGTCCAGATGAATCATTGTAAGAGCACCCCATTCCTATATTGTTAGCTGCCCTTTACATCCAACTTGAACTTCTGTTAGTAACAACATATTTTGTTAGAAAACTTCCACTTTTTCCAAATCTTTCTGCATGTGCCTTATGAGTTTTTAGTGACTTCGCTCAGATTATTTCTAGTCAGGGTCTGCTCATGCTGTTCTACATAGTTCTTTCTCTGTCACCCACAACGCCTTCGCTCACGGCAATGCGCTTGCACTCATTAGCCGAATGATTGGATGACACCCCTGTTTTAACACACGCATTTCCGGGTCTCTCATACCGCTCCTTAGCGTCACACCCGTCCGTTTATTCTTCCCCGTCATATTCCGCTCAACCGTCCAATTTTCTTAAATTTCAACTGTTATTCTTATTTTAACTGCACGTAGATGCATAATCCGACGACATGAAAATCTGGAGTCAAAGAAATCCTTTGTGAAAAGACATGTCTCAAATACTTTGATGTCACTGTCCTATTCGGAAAGGATATGCTGTTAATCGCTTTTTATACGTCAGCTCCCACATCCTCATTCAAGCAGTTTTCTGAAAATTATGAGGACGCTTATGCCGGGCCTGTCGTCCGACACGAGAACACCGCTTGGTGGGTCGAGCAGTCGACGGTGAATCGAGCTCGACTTGTCGTCGACGCCGCAAACTGCCAAGCGCGAATCGACATCAGACTAAGCCAAGTCGTGAAAGGCGCTTCGAGACCGGAAAACCAAGGCTCATTTCTCATAAAATTGGGATTCGTTTAGTTTTTTGGTCGCCCATTTGTGACTCTTCCTTCCCATTTAGGTCATGTGACATACCATGATTAATATCGTCGAGGAATCGGTACGGCTGTGAAAATTATTTATGAAGGAAAAATCGAAAGGATTATGCCTGCTTTTGTAGCCTTCTCTACCGAACTGTTGGCTCAAATCATAAGAACGTTCGTTAGACTATATGTAGAATATGGGATGCCAACGTGGATGTCTGGATGAAGAAAGACAGTGACTCCATCTAGCAGGCGCAATGACAGGCGACAAATCTGGTGGACGGCCTTAAGACTGTCACATACGGCCAGACTGGTCAAACTCAATATGTTCCCTCCATACCATAGACAACTGAGGTGCAACCTGTTGTCAACATTCCTTATTATCTGCGGACACGAATTTTCGCTCAAATCTGAGGGTTTCTTCGAGTTGGCAAACGTCAGTCCCCTACTCGGCCATCCACCCAAGGTTAAACGTGAACGCACGTACGAAAACTAACGAAAGTTTATTATCGGCCAGCGGGTAGTTC